CACTCATCTCCAAAACTACAAACATTCATTATTCAAATCTCTCAGAGATGGGGGACATTGGTGTACCACTTGTTTAATATTTAAGCTACCACCTGAGTCTTCACAACTTCCTTGATAAAATAAGAAATTCCTCTTTTTTTCAGATTGTATCTTTCGCTCAGCTCTTAGACATTTCTGACAGAGAGGAAAGCATCGCTCCTGTGCCTCTCCTTTGACACCAGTGTGTTGTGATCCAGACATGCCAGGGACATGTATGACCCTCTATTGTGTTCCAGGCAGGAAGTTGGGCTCTGACTGTGGTCTTGGACTTAGTTAGTATCCTGTGCAGATGTCAGCCCCATACAGCTGCTGCAGTTAAACCATTTCTTTTCAAACTCCAAAACCACAGCAGGAAGCTAGCATCGAGTATATTTAAGTGATTATGTCTTAATATGTTAATACTGTGTGAGAGGTGAATAGACCACCTTCTGGCTTTTCACAGCTGAGCAGACGTCTCTTGGCACAGAAACTCAGCTCAGCACGCTGTGACTGTTTTCTCATTGCTCTCCCACAGTGTGGAAAGGATGAGGCAAGATGCATTTGTAATCTGAGCGTGAGCACCAGAACACCCTGAAACAGTGCTTTCTCACCATCTGTCAATAACACTGCAGCGACAGCACGGACAGAAACACACGTTGTTCTTTGTTTGGATGTAAGCTTAGCGCCGCGACCCTGTGAAAATCTGTTTTATTTTATCAATAAACAAGCTTTATTCTCCAAATGTGTACAAAACAACTTGCAAGACAGAACCAGTCATATTAAAAAGACCAATTATGGCACATTAAATGAAGTACATGCTTTGGATGTTACATGATTTGTTGTCTTTAATTAGAACTCATAACTTGTAGTTTCATTTTACAGTAACTCAAACAAACAGTGGTGATGGAAGCTCAAGTTTTACTTGCATGGAATTGGACAGACATGCGTTATCAGCTTTTTTACGGTCTCCGTGAGCAGGAACGTTAGGTGTAATTAACACAACTTGCTAATTAACGTCTGTTCCAACACCTTCCAACTGCAAATGGTTTAATCACAGACCATGTCCAGTCAAACACCTTATTGTTAAACTAAAAGGAGCGACTGGTTGTTTTTAAAGAAACATAAGAAATTTAACAATTTAAAAAACCTTGCTGTTTAAAACTTCATTATTACAGCTGTGATAACCGAGCGTGTTCTGGTTATTACATCATTTACCAGGAGAATACAAACCAAGCAAGGCTAAGCTTCAATTGCAGCCCATAGAGACACATATATGTCCTGCAGGCTTGTGTTAGTAATCATACTGGAACGTTACTGCACCACACTCCCCCAAAACTACAAGTGTCCAGTTAATTCAAAACAACGACATCACCTGAAAGCAGTTAACACTTAAACAAGCACAACAGAAGTAAATTAGTCTAATAAACTAAGAGCTAAAATTAGAAAAGTGGTAGCTAAAAGCAAAATGTTGTAAAACTGTAGCAAAAGGCTAAATGTAGTTAAACTGTAGCTAAATGCTGGGTTTTTTTTGTATTTTTTTGTACTGAACGCTTTTTGAACTGTAGCTAAAATGCAAAGAAAGCTAAACTGAAGCTAAAAAATAAAATATTTACAGTTAAAGCTAAATGATGAAATGAGCAAGACCATAGCTAAAAGTAAGAATAACCAAACCATAGCTAAAAGTTGAAATAAGCAAAACTACTACTAAAACTAAATGTATCAAAACTGCAGCTAAAAGCTAAATGTATCAAAACTGCAGCTAAAAGCCAAATGTATCAAAACTGCAGCTAAAAGCCAAATGTATCAAAACTACAGCTAAAAGCCAAATGTATCAAAACTACAGCTAAAAGCCAAATGTATCAAAACTACAGCTAAAAGCTAAATGTATCAAAGCTGCAGCTAAAAGCTATATGTATCAAAACTGCAGCTAAAAGCTAAATGTATCAAAATGCAGCTAAAAGCTAAATGTATCAAAACTGCAGCTAAAAGCTAAATGTATCAAACTACAGCTAAAAGCCAAATGTATCAAAACTGCAGCTAAAAGCTAAATGTATCAAAACTGCAGCTAAAAGCTATATGTATCAAAACTGCAGCTAAAAGCTAAATGTATCAAAATGCAGCTAAAAGCTAAATGTATCAAAACTGCAGCTAAAAGCTATATGTATCAAAACTGCAGCTAAAAGCTATATGTATCAAAACTGCAGCTAAAAGCTAAATGTATCAAAATGCAGCTAAAAGCCAAATGTATCAAAACTACAGCTAAAAGCCAAATGTATCAAAACTACAGCTAAAAGCCAAATGTATCAAAACTACAGCTAAAAGCTAAATGTATCAAAACTGCAGCTAAAAGCTATATGTATCAAAACTGCAGCTAAAAGCTAAATGTATCAAAATGCAGCTAAAAGCTATATGTATCAAAACTGCAGCTAAAAGCTAAATGTATCAAAACTGCAGCTAAAAGCTAAATGTATCAAAGCTGCAGCTAAAAGCTAAATGTATCAAAACTGCAGCTAAAAGCTAAATGTATCAAAATGCAGCTAAAAGCTAAATGTATCAAAACTGCAGCTAAAAGCTATATGTATCAAAACTGCAGCTAAAAGCTATATGTATCAAAACTGCAGCTAAAAGCTAAATGTATCAAAATGCAGCTAAAAGCTATATGTATCAAAACTACAGCTAAAAGCTAAATGTATCAAAACTGCAGCTAAAAGCTAAATGTATCAAAACTGCAGCTAAAAAATAAAATTACCAATGCAGCAATAAAAGCTAAAAGGAATGTATATAAACAAAATTAGAGCAAACACACCACAGGAAATTTTATAGGAATCTAATTTTTGTCATTAAAGAGATCTCATGGACTGTCTACTGTATGTGAAACATTTTTCTAACTTAATATAGATAATAGTATAAAATAGTATACGTTCTGATGCATGCTCAATAATCCAGGTAGAAAAATCTAAAAAAGTTAAATCTGGTCCTCTGGACATTCAAAAAACAAAACAAAGCAAAACAACAAAAAAATGTAGAAACGTTTCGTCTCTCATCCGAAAGACTTGCTCAGTCAGTATACGTTACAAATAAAACATATAACATTATTTCTAATTGAACAAAGCTTTTAATTCATTAGTGGTTAAAATAGCACAAGATAAAGCAATTTGTAAAAAATAAAATAAAATAAAAACCCTGTGGAAGAAACCAGAATACTAACTTAGCATTCACAACCAAACATCAAACAGACCTCAGCAGACTGTTTTTAAGACTTGGATCAAGTTGTGCCAAAAGTTTTTTCCAGCTTCTGCCAAGTTTCTTCTCACACCATTAATTTTCTTCACCTTTGGCCCAAATGTAAATGAGTTGTTTTGTCTCACACTTCCACCTCGTGGTTCTGCTCACTCTGAGCTCCTGAAATAGGAACTGTGACTGTGATGCAGCAAACCATCAGCGCTTGGGTGGGGGGTTCTCTAAATTATCTTGTGATGATCACAAGTGCAGCTTGGAGTATAATAATGGGGTCATATTGTTATGGCAAATTGTTTTAGTGGCAGTTGTAGTAGTTTGTCAGCTACACAGCATTTTCTGTTTATGACAGAAAAGGCCTAAAGCTCAATATCTTTAAAATCCAGTCATTTTGTGTTTCCTAATGCCAGTTGGTTGTGCAGCCATCAGCTGGTGCCAAAAGTTCAACAGTTATAGATCTAGATCTAATGAATATTTTCTGAAACTTTAATTTAAATCTGTCCAGGGGGTCATGAGGCCCGCTGGGTCCGGGTGGACGGATCGGCATCTGCATCCAGTTTCTTCAGATCCTCTGCTGATGGCTGTGGTCAGGAAGGATCTCCAACAGCAGTTGATTGTTATACATGATGACTGATTGTTTTGGACAGATGAGTCCTTGTGCATGTGTTAAAAGTCTGCTTCTGAGATTAGGGCAGGAGGTTGGCTTGAAGCACAGCAATGAAGGCTACTTATGGGACAGATCTGGTTGGCAGGCCACACACTGATGAAGTCTTCTGAATGGAAGACCAAACATTTCTCTCTTAAAGAAACTGGTCCAGATGACATGATTTAACCTTCTTTTATTTGGAATTGAATTGAATAAAATATTTTTCTAACAGACAGAGCTGACACCATTGATTAAGGGCAACAGTTTCAAAATAAATCTAATGCAATCTGTTAGTTCTTACAGTAAAAGATAAAGAGAACTCTTAGTTACAAAAACTTTAAATTTTAGCTCAATAAGAGTTGACTGAACTATAGTCATTTTGTGTTTGCTAGGAGAGATTAGCTGTGGCAACCATCTTCCAAAAGTCAAAGTTGTAGGTGTTCATCCAATGATTACTTTAAAATCCATCTACCAGTTGATGAGATGAGCAGCCGAAAGAAAATGAAAACAAAGACGGCAACAAAGAAGACAAAGGCGATGAAGAAGACACATGGAAGAAGATGAGGAAGAAGACAACTAAAAGACAAATAAGAAAAAGGCAATGAGGAAGTTTACGAGAAAGAAGATGACGAAAAGACATCAAAAAAGACAACATCAACAAAGATGACAAAGAAGATGACAACAAAGAATAAGCCGACATTTTTCAGTCAGGTCATCTGGACAGTTTTTTTATTTTGTGCTGAAACGTTTCACCTTCCATCCAGAAGGCTTCATCAGTCAAGGAAACACACAACAAAACTGATTCTTCCCCCAACAGCTTACTCCAAAGTGGAACAAACCAGTTCTGCTTGTGATAAGATGGTCTCTTTGGTACGCCCCTCCTCTATTGCCAGCCCTCTTCCTTGTTGACGGTCTTGTCAAACTGGTTGAAAACAACAAAGTCCATGCTCAATAATCCAGGTATACAATCCAAATGACCTGACTGAAAAATGTTGGATTGTATACCTGGATTATTGAGCATGGACTTTGTTGTAACAAAGAATAAGATGGAGACAAACATAATAAGATGACAAAGAAGTGAACAATAAAGACTAAGAAGATGACGATCAAGATGAAGACAATAAAGAAGAAGACTCCATATCACATGGGCAGAAAGCAACATAGCATTGCTGCAGAAAACAACGTCCAGTAAATGCAGGTGATATTGTAAAAGCAGGTCTTGTTTTTAGAATTAATTAAAAGACGTAGGATTTCAGCATTTGTGTTATTCTTCATCAAAAATCATTTTAAAGTTTACTTTTTAAGTGCAGAAATCTTAAAAAGTTTTGACACTAAGTCTGTTCTGTCCTGTTAGGGACAGATGTGTCCTTGAGTCAGCTCAAAGGTGCTTCTTGTTCCTGGTTGATTACCTTCTTTTCTCACATTTTTACTTTTTTCATTTGCTTTTCTTTTGGACTCTTTTAATCCAATCCATGACTTTCAGATTGTATTTATTTTATTTTACTACTAGCAGCACATTCATTCAACCTTTATTTATACAGGTCAATCCCATTGAGCCTCGGGGACTCATTTACAAGAGACACCTGGGATAAGCCGTACTTGTTTCAACAACAGTAATTCATTTTCCTGACTACCTCTACATCTCTGATTGCACACCTCTCTTTCCTCTGAAGGCAGTCGGTGGGGATGGGAAATTATGGAGGACAAAGGCCCACGTGTAGCTGACTACTTTGTGGTGGCTGGTCTCACGGACCCGTCCAAGCCATTGGACCAGGAGATCCACTTCAATGATGTGTGCCACAAAACAGCCAAGCAGAAAGCTCCCATTACTGATGTGACGGTGGTGATCCGCTCACTGGGAGAGGAGGTGCCTCTGGGGTTTACATGCATAGAGACTACACCAAGTGGCCAGTCAGCGGATCTTAACAACGGCGGCCTCATGGCACCGCAGATCTTCTTGTGCTACAGACGAGGCCGTGACAAGCCACCGCTCACAGACCTGGGGTAAGTACCAAAGGATTCTGGGTGTTTTGTCCTCATGTTTGGTAAAAACACTTTTTTCCTGGCAAATTAAAGGTACTGTCTGCAAACTAACGTCTATAACAGTATAAGATGCTAGATGGTTTTGTTATCTACTTTGGTTTTTTTAAGTGTTTATTCTTAGTTTGGTTCTCTTAAACACAACTTTTGACCTTACTAACCGTCCATCCATCCATTTTCTTTACCCGCTTCTTCCATTTTGGGTCACGGGGGTCGCTGGTGCCCATGTCCAGCAATCACTGTGCGAGGGGCCGGGTACACCCTGGACGGGCCGCAAGTCCATCACAGGGCCACATAGAGACAAACAACCATTCAGTCTCTCATTCACACCTAGGGACAATTTAGAGTTACCAATCAGCCTAACATGCATGTTTTTGGTTTGTGGGAGGAAACCGGAGCACCCGGAGAAAACCCACGCATGCACGGAGAGAACATGCAAACTCCACCCAGAAAGGACCCTGGACCGGGGTTTGAGCCAAGGACCTGCTCGCTGAGATGCAGCAGCTCTACCAGTTGCGCCACCGTGCTTCCCACCTTACTAACCTATCAAACAAAAGTTCAGACTTATTTAATTCCAAAACACAAACCCTGTTCTTTGTTGGAAAAAAAAATAAAAGGAATGAACCAAACAATTGACTTATGGTTGGCCATGTTTTAGCTTGTCCATCACTTTTTTTTTTCCAGTCAATATAAACATCGAAGGTAAGGAAGTTTTTGTTAAGTGAAACAGACTGTTAGTTATTGTAAAGAGAAAAGTTTAATTTAAATTACTTTCTGTACAATAGACATTTCAAAGTCCAAACTTTCAGCTTCATTAAATACCAGCAGTCTGGTTATAGCCAGCAGAATTTTTTTTAACTAGAATTTATTCTCTAACTAAGTGTGTTCTTTTCTTTCTTTTAGAAACTTTAATAGTCGCATAGAGACAAACGAGACAAACAACCATTCACTCTCTCACTCACACCTAGAGACAATTTAGAGTTACCAATCAGCCTAACATGCATGTTTTTGGTCTGTGGGAGGAAACCGGAGTACACCCACACATGCACGGAGAGAACATGCAAACTCCTCCCAGAAAGGTCCCGGACCAGGATTTGAACCTGCAACCTTCTTGCTGAGAGGCGACAGCTCTACCAACTGCACCACCAGTGCCGCCCAGCTATTTAAACAAATATTTTGTATTCTGTTAATTATATTTCTTAGAGAAAATTTGGTATTGGCAGATTGGAGCTGTACAGGAATCAGAAATCAGTATCGTCCCACAAAATCACAATCTCTAGTTAAAAATTATTATTATTTTGTTTTTTAAATCTTTACTCCAGAAAAGATAACAGCAAAAGACATGAGTTGTTCAAACTTTGTCCAGTTTTTCTTTTTAATAAAACACCCAGGTATATAAAGACATTGGTTACTATCAATGCAACTTTTACATCCCTTTACCTTGAGAGATAAGTCCTTAAGTAAGTAAGTAAGTAAGTAAGTACCGGTAAGTAAGTAAGTAAGTACCGGTAAGTAATTAAGTAATTTAGTGCTATATGTTGTCATCATCTTATGTTTCCATACAATGACAAAATTAGTTCTCTGCATTTAACCCATCACACCTGAGATACACGCAGGTGGAGCAGTGGGCAGCTATGTAAACACCCAGGGAGCAGTTAGGGATTAGGTGTCTTGCTCAAGGACACCACGACATGTGGGCATGGCAGGGAGTTGAACCTGTGACTTTCTGGTCCCAGGTTGGCTGCCCTACCTCTACGCCATCTCAGCCCCCTAGATAGAAGATAATGTTCTGTACCCCCTCTGCATGTGCACTGAATGAAGAGCAAAGTATTACACTGAAGAGATTATTCAAAAGTAAAATCTTTTATTTTTCATTACACATCCATATAAACACTCTAGTGACACAAATAGGGTAAATAAACGTTCAGCATTTGGTCCAATTTTTGCAAATAATACATTTAATTTAGATTCTAAGAAAACGTCATCAAACAACTGAATTGGCAAACTCTGACCCGTGATTTTTGTGTGGTGGGAGTGGAAGGGTCCACCGTAACTCTTTTCCCCTTTCTGTGTTTTTAGATTCTTCAGTAATCTTTTTAGCTTTTCTGAAAGGGTCACTCTCCTCAAAGTCTGTTGTGTTTCTCATACTGAGTCAAGAATGTGGGGAAAAAATAACTGTAATACCACTTTGATTGGTGATATGTGCTGCTGATTATCCATGCTGCTGATCTCATGCTGCTGATCATTTCATGCTGCTGTATTCATTCGTACTGATCTACTGAGACTCATGTTCGTGCTGCTGTTGTTTGTCGTATTTTGCACTATTAGTGTTTAGCATATATCTTAGTCTATGTCTTAGATCCTTATTTGCTGTTTTTTTTTTTACACTTTATATTTTTGCTATTGTTGGATGTAACTGGGACCCTGTGTACACAATTTCGTTCCACCTCATCTACCACATGTGATAAAATGACAAGAAAACCTACTTGAACATGAGTAAATCTCAGGCACCGGAGTCACACATGCAAAGAACTCAATGAGCCTGTTGAGCATCATGGGAGGTTTTATGTTGGATAGAAAGCTTGCTCTTACCGATTGATTTCAGGAATACAAGAATTCCTGGTCCCAACCTCGAAAGATCATAGATTGTTTTGTAAAACTTTATTTATGTTTGCTGTACGTGTAGTTTGCTCTTCTTTCAGTAATGCTATGGCTGCTTTTCTACACATGTCAGCTTAATCTTGACAGCTGAAGAGTTCTTAGTCTTTTGAAGTGCTCAACAGCCTGAAATCCTTCTGTGCAGCAGTTTTTTTAACACCAGCTCTTTATGCCTAAGGCTGTTCCCCACTACAAAAAGTGAAAATGAAACACTGTTATATCTCTCAGCAACTTTCTTTGCAAGGTGTGAATGCAGTGCTCCAGTTTTGCACCCCTTCTGTCTGACTTGCAGAGGCAAGTGGTGACCGTGCTAAATGGGAGCAGTTCAGTGCAGAGCTCAGTGCCGATGAGGCACTGATACAGCTGCTTTATCAGACAGAATCAGCAGCTTCATGTCTGTTTGCTGATAGCCCAGAGAGGATGGACTTCCCAGACTGATGGTGAAGGAGTGTGTGTGTGCGTTAGTATGAGGGGGCGTAGCCATCATTGGCATGCACTGTTTGTTGCTGTGTCGTGTAATAATGAGCAGCTGGTGTTCTGTGACAGTTTAGGTTCATTCAAAATATACTTTTCTCTAATTATCTCAAGAGGCTTCTCCACATTGCATCATGTACAAACATGGCTCCAGACTAACCTTTTGTTGTTCTTGCACTGGTGCATGAAATTGTTAGTTTGCTGCATGACCAAAAGATTTAGGCAAATCCACATTTTCAGAACTCATTTACCACCACAATCAAATTTTTAAATATCACATTTTTGATATGACAAGTGTCAGTTGTGTAAATGATTGTAAAAAATCGAACAAACATTAGGAGGCAGGTAAATGCTTTATTTGATTTGTATCACAAATATAAATGAGCAAGAAGCTTATTTATGTTATAACAGAATTTATAAAATCATGATGTTTAATAGGTTTGACATATCAGCTTAAAAAATTCATTTGAGTGACAGCTTGCACATTTAGAGGACTACAATCATTGACTGTCCTATAATTTCAGAATAACATTTAAACAGATGTAGCTTTTAAATTCACGCAAAACTTTACATCAAACATTGAGTTTATTGTAATTGGACATGGTTAAGTCAATATTGGTTATTGTTTAACACTATAAATAAATAAATTACTTTTTCTTTTTCTTATTTTTATGACAATTCTGAAAAAGTTGGGACATTGAAAATAAAAGCATGAGCTCTGCAAAACTCATAAACCCATGTTTTATTCACATTGCATCATAGTAAACATTTCAAATGCTGAAACTAAGAAATTGTATTGTTTTTTTTTGTTGTAAAAATATAAGGTAATTTTTAATTTTATGGCATCAAGTCACCTCAAGAAAATTGTAATGGGAACAAGTTTCCACTGTTAGCATTCCCTCTTTTTTAACAGCTGTCTGTAAATGTTTAGGAACTGAGAAAAACAGTTACTGCAGTTTTTGAAGGGGACTGTTTGTCCTGTTTGTACGTACATGTACATACATACATACATACATACATACATACATACATACATACATACATACATACATACATACATACATACATACATACATACATACATACATACATTCAAACATACATACATACATACATTCAAACATACATACATACATACATACATACATTCAAACATACATACATACATTCAAACATACATTCATATATACATACATTCATACATTCATACATACATACATACATTTGTAGTGAGTCACGTGGGTACGTGTCACTAGTTGTAGTATGACAATATATCCCCGTTTATATGCATACTATATTCACGAGTTCCTCATCTTTCTGACTGTAATGTCGTGCATTGAATTTTAACAGAGATGCGAACGAGAGACGTTATTTACCTTTGACCCATCAAAATGAATGGAGTCATTTATTTTCAGAATCAAAGTTTAACATCAAACATTTACATTAATTTGGCAAAATATGAAAATAATAACAGACAGTTTCACAAATAATGAACTTCAAATCACTCGGCGGTGATTTGAGGACTTTGCTTCAGATATTTCTAAAATATCTGTACTGGTTTTGTGAGAGAGAGAAGAGTTTAAGATGAAGTGGAGATTATCTTACAGAGAACTATGTGAGAGAATTAATATCTGTTGACCAGAATGTGCACGCTTCATCAGATTTCAGCTCGCCTCCGGTACACTTTAGTCGAAGAAGAGACCGTTACCTTGTTGATGATAGATCAGCTCGATAGAGAGTCCTCCAGACCTTTCAGCGTCTCCGTTGAGAGCTGCTGAAATCCTTAGATAGTCGTGCGTGGGTTGTTCAAACAGAAGTTATAATTCCAACGT